TTCTGAGTGGACATGAATTTCAGAAGGGGATGCTATTCAACCTAACAGAATATTTTTAAAGAGTGATATTTTAATCATGATGAATTTCTTAAGGAAGAACTGAGGGAGAGGCCAGTGCTCAGAACAATACAAGACACGGGGGCTCAGTACATAGTTTTTGAGTAGATAAAGAAATGGGCAGCCTAAGGAGCTACATGAGTAGCTTTGGGCACCATCCTGGCTCCCTCACCCCTACTTCCCATACTCAGACCTGGGAAAATACATAGAGATCCCATTTACCTGCAGATGATTGCAAACTAATGTAAATACTAAATGTGCCCTTTTTATCCTTCCCTCCCACAAATTTCCTAGGACAATTAAGAGTGAAATAGACTGACCTCAGTACCTGGAGAAATGAGGAGTTATGTTCTGGCTTAATAAAAGTGTCTGGAAAATATGTATAAATAAATACAGTTTACTATTTGATATAGTGCACGTTTCATTATGCAAGTAACTGGCATGTGCTTCAAACGGGAATAGTCCAAACATAAATCAAGATCCCTGTGGTCCGTGGCAATGCCTTTGGCACAGACTCAGTCTTGTAATACACGTGCTGATGGTGTTACTGAACACTTACTCTGCATCACACCATCTCCGAATCACCTTACGCGTATTAACTCACTTGATTCTCACACTTCTCTGAGAAGTAGCAACTATTTTCCTCTGGGATCTTGGTTTCCTTGTTTGTAGGATGGAAATATATTCTGATATAAACAGATTATTGTGGAAATGCAATGAGTTTATTGATGGCATGTTACCGGTAGTGCTCGATACATATTCATTTTTAATATTTTATTATTGTCTCCATTTTACAGATTAGGAATGTGAGACACAGAAGTTAAGTCAACTACCCAAGATACATAGCTAGAAAGTTTCAAAGCCAGGATATAAACTCCCTGCTATTATGAAGAAACTGCTGAATCCTCGAATACGCGAATATATTAAGGAAAGTAAACTATGGATTACTCCCATCATTAGCAATGAAGGGGGAAAAATAAAGCTGCTATTCAAAGTTGACTCCACCAGAGGGCAGTAAATGTACGCATCACGCAGCATGACCTGCGCCCGTGGTTTGGTTTGGTTTGAAGACATTAAACACTGAAAGTTATTACAGATTTTGTGCCGACTGTTAAGCAGGAAATCGATTCAAACTATTATCCTGTTTTCCTATTACCTTAAAGTGTAGAAGATTTCCATGAGGATTAGATATAATGTAGCTAAAAGTCTCTAAACTGTCAAGATCTGGTAAACTGATGGAGGAAGTCCTTTCATCAACGTTCAATAAACCATTGTTACTCCTGGGAGCCTAACACTGCGCTAGTGCTAGGGGTCGGGGGGTACCAGGCATGAAGGTCACTGAACGAGAGACAAGGACCCAACACACCACTGCACCACGCCCTCCTCACCCTTATTCTGTGTGTATACACAAACACAGACATACATATCTGGGATAATTCTGTATATAACTTTTATCTTTGCTGTCTGAAATATACTGTGAACACTTTCTTATTAAATTACATATTCTTCAAAAGCATGATTTTATGACTATTATAATCCTGTAAAGATGATTCATAATTTCAAATATTCCTTTATTGTTGAACACAGCAAAGGAAACAATCAACAGAGAAGAGAAACCTATGGAATAGGGGGAAATATTTGCAAGCCACACATCTTTCTGATAAGGGGTTAGTATCAAAAAATATAAGGAATTCAACTCAATAACAAGAATACAACCCAACTGAAAAATGGGCGAAGAAACCTGGATAGACACTTCTCTAAGGGAGACCCGCAGACGGCCAGCAGGTATGTGAAGTGATGCTCAGCATCACTGATCATCAGGAAGACGCAAGTCAAAACCATAATGAAATATCACCTCACACCAGTTAGAATGGCTGTCATCAAAAAGACAGGCAATAAGTGCTGGAGAGAGTGTGGAGAAAAGGAATCTCTTGTACTCTGTTGGTGGGAATGAAAATTGGTGCAGCCACTATGGAAAACAGTATGGAGGTTCCTCAAAAAATTCAAAATAGAACTGCCGTAGGATCCAGCAATTCTCCTTCTGGGTATATATCTGAAGTCACTATCTAAAAGCTGCCCCCATGTTCACTACAGTATTCACGATAGTCAAGACATGAAAACAACCTCAGTGTCCACTGGATGGATGAATAAAGAAAATGTGGTGTATATACACAATGGAACATTAATCAGCCATACAAAAGAAGGAAATCCTGCCATTTGTAGCAACAGAGATGAGCCTGGAAGACATTATGCTAAGTTTAAAAAAAAAAACCCAGACAAAGAGAAATACTGTGTGATCTCACCTGTAAGTGAAATCTAAAAACTCACAGAAGCAGAGACTAGAACAGCAAGTGCTAAGGGAGAGTGGGGAGATGTGGGTCAGAGGGTACAAAGTTGCAATTATTTAGGACTGATTAGTCTAGAGAGCTAATGTACAGCATGATGACAACAGTTAATACTGTACTGAATACCTGAAATATGCTCAGAAAGTAGATTTCAAGTGATCTCATCACACACACAACAGTATGTGAGATGATGTGTTGGCTTAACTTAGCTCAGCCTCACTTCACGATGTATATAAAATCTTGTTGTACGTCATATATACAATTTTTATCTTAAAACAAAAAATGAAGCCAGTGGTCTATAATAGACCTGCTCTTCCTCCAAAACCTTCCTCCTCAGAGCTCTTTAACCTCCCCTATGACTCCTCCACTTGCCATCTTTTGTCCAGCTACGCTGACTCTTTGTGCTTCTTCAGATCTTCCAGACACACCCCTGCATGGGGCATTTTCACTTACTCCTTCTCCTTAAAATATTTTTCTGCTGGAACCCACATGGGTAACTACTTCTCCTTCAGCTCTTTGCTTTAAAATGTCATCTTCTCAGTAATTCCCTGATCATCCTATTTAAGATTAAAATTGCAAGACCACCTTCCCAACTGGCTCTCTATTCCCTCTTCTCTGGCTTGGTTTTCCCCATAGAACTTATTACTCTGACAACTACATATATAATATTCACCTAGTATGTCTTCCCCACCCCCCATAAAACATAAACCCCATGATGCCAAGGACTTTTGTCTGATTTGTGCACTACTACGTCTCCAATGCCTAAAACGATGCCAGGCCTAGAGCAGACACTTGGGAAATAACCGCTGGATGTATGAACCAAGGATAGAATGAATTCTGCTGATAATCTTAGAAGAAAATTAGAATAGATTTTGTTCCATTCATGGAAAATTTCCAATGCACAGAAAAGTCAAATGATTTACCTAAGGCCTTAAATCTGTCCCAAAGATATTACTGCTCTAGAGAAGACACCACAGTCTGTCCCCATCTAAGAGAAAGTCACGAATTTCATAAATTATCTTCCTTTCGTATCAACCCAAGGCCACTTCTTTACAGTAAGTCCCTGGGACCCAATCCTAAGAATGGAAAGTCATATATAAGGCGGCTGTCTGCTAGGGAGTCTGCAGTGCTTCAATATTAAACATTTAAAGAATAAGCAAAATGTGTAATTGAGTGCTAAATGTATGTGTTAGGGACTCTACTGATGGAAAAAGAAGTTTGTCTTCACTTAATGGGTTGCTTTAGTGGAGAGAGAAGTGGGAGAAACATGTGACGCAATAGGATGGCCTCAGCATTATCAAAAACCCAGTTACTAAGCACTGGGTTTTACCCGGTGCTGGGACAGGCATGGCCCTGCCCTCTGGAACGTCTCGGACCTTCCTAATGTAATGTTTCAATTGAGACACACTCTTAAGTTTCTTTTCCCTTGACACTGTGTTGGTCTCCGTGTATTAAACAGCCCCCTCTCCCAATCTTAAAGGCGTGTCTGTGCAGGAGGTGAACCTTATCACTCATTGCCCTAGCCTAGCCCTGCTCAAGTTCCACCTAAATGCCATTATGTGTGAGTGTAGGGCGGGAGTCCGTGTATCACAACCATCTCTTAGTGATTCTCATCTTCAGGGTTTTTTTAATTGATTTTAAAATGGTAGGTGTGTGGACCAAACATATAAGGTCATGCTTTTCTTGTGGAAAAAACATTGTTTTTTCACAGTAATCTATTATTAATTATTTTTATACTGATATATTGTATCTATATATCACAATGCTATGTGCGACTTATTTGAAAGTGTCCTTTCAAAAAATAAAGAAATCCAGGTAAAGAGGGATAAAAATGTTTTAATTGTTGAAATACATTGGTAAATTGAGTGATTTTACATTGCAGTACCAAACGGATACACATGGTCACTATCAAATTAAGAACTTTCCAAATATCCCACTAACCGTCAGTGACAAGCCTGGAAAAGAGC